AGAACCGACGAGAGAGAGAGAGAGAGAGGCGGCGCCAATGTGGGAGCCCGCGGCCATTGACGAAGATGGGCCAAAGAGAAGGGAAAGAAAACGAAAAGGGGAGGGAAATTCGCAGCGAAAATTGGTCCGCGACGCTTTAACTGGGAGTGATGTTGTGTGGGACTCTCTTGGGTGTTCGTGGCTCTTGTCGGTGTGTATGTGTGTGTATGTGTGTGTGTGTGGCGCGTGCTGCCCGGATCTGTTACTTTTCTTTTCCTTTTCTCCTTCTGCCTCTTCCCTCGCTGCTCTTCGGCTGCGGCAGTGATTGGAACGTGGAATAAAAATGTGGCGTCGGTGGAGCTGCGTGCTGCGGGCGGCGCCGGCCCCGCTGGATCCCTCGCTGCTCTTCGGCGTCGGCCGGCCCCGCACGAAGGAGCAGGCGATGAAGTACCAAGAGATGAAGAACACCTCCATCCAGGCCGCCTTTCCGCACCTTGCCGCCTGCTGGGTGGGCCCGTGCTGGGGCACCGTGATGATCACCCCGAACCACCTCTCGCCGGTGTGCACGAAGATAGCCGTGTGGCGGTGCAGTGAGTGCCTGCAGGAGTTTGAGATGAGTGTCGCAAAGTTTATAGACCAGCACGGGGTGTGTCCACTCTGCAAGAAGCCGCAGCGAAAGCCCGAGGCGGCGGACGCGGAGCCGGAAGCAAAAGGCAGCCCCACGGCTGAGACGAAGAGCGGCGACGCAGGCTCGGAATCGGCGGCGGCAACTTCCGCCTCGCCGAATAATGGCGTGGCGTACGCGAAGGCGCCACGCATGATTCATACGAACTACAAGAGCGTATTACACGATAACCCCGAGTGGGAGGAGATCAACATTCAGCCCATGCTCGCACAGAAGTGGGAGAGTGTGGCCGCCCAGCTCCTGAACCCGGGCCCAGGCGAGGAAAAGGAGCTACTGCTCGCCTCCCCCAAGATTGACGGTATTCGTTGCCTCATCGGCTACAATCAAAGGCGGAAGGAGCCGCAGTTCTTCTCCCGTGGTGGTATCCTGCTAGAGTGCTGCCATGGGCTGGTGCCGCATGTTATGCCACTCTTTGAGGCGGACCCCACACTCCTCTTGGACGGCGAGCTCTTTGCGCCGCTCTGCAACTTTGAGGAGCTCAATGGCCTTGTGCGACGTCTGGCAAAGTTCACCTCCCCAGAGATGCGGCAGCGGCAGGCGCAGTTGCTGGAGTACTTCTCCTTTGACATTATGCACTCAGCGCAGCTCTCGGCGCCAAACGCCCCTTTCAGTGAACGCTACCAGCTGCTGAAAAAGCTGATCCCCATCTGCGGGGCGAAGCGCATCAGCGCCTACCAGCACGATGAGCAGAAGCGCAAAATTATTCGCCGCAAGCAGCACCCCGACACCACCGCGGCGGAGGGGGCGGTGAAACTCTACCACGTCCCCGCGGCGCAGGTGGGCGCGGAGGAGATGGAGGAGGTTTTGGAGGAGGCCTGCTCGCAGGGGTTTGAGGGGGTCATGATCCGCCGCCCAGGGTTCCCGTACGAGCACGGCAAGCGCAGCTTCGGCCTGCTGAAGTACAAAACGATGCACGACGCGGAGTACCGCATCGTGGACTTCCTGCCGGGGCAGGGCAAATTTAAGGGCGGACTCGGTGCTTTCATCTGTGAGACGAAGAGCGGCATCCGCTTCAACGCCACGCCCAAGACGACGTACGAGAATAGGCGGGCTCTGTGGAGCAAGCGAGAGCGACTGCTTGGCAAGTACCTCACGGTGCAGTACCAGGAGTTGTCGTCGCAGGATGTGCCACGCTTCCCCATCGCCAAGGCCGTGCGTGGGGCCTCGGAGGAGGAGTTTTTATAAACAAAACAACAAACAAACAAAAAAAGAACAACAACAGCAACAGCGGCACCCGGGGGAGGTGGGAGAAAGAGAAAAAAGGCACGACAACGAACCGACAAGGACGTGGCAGCTCTTTTTTCTTTTTCTTTTTTTTTTCTTGAAAGACGCACGCATACGTGCTTCTATACTGGAGGTTGGTTTTGTTTGATGACGAATGAGTGTCTGCTCCTCTCCTCCATGGGTGTCGGCGCGTGTGTGTTCCGCTCTTCCTCCGTTCATAATAAGCACATAGACTGCGCTTCTGTGGGTCTGCGGCACTTCACGTGTGGTCGCACCGCCGCCGTGATGAACACCACCCTCTTTTTTAGTTTTTTTTGTTTTTATTTATTACTTGTTACTCGCCTCACGCGCGCGCGCGCACACACACACACACGCATTCCGAGGATTCTGTGCATGTGCAACCCTGTGCGGGGGCGTGTGTGTGGGGGGGCAACTGTGCAGTAACGCACACTCATAGAACGAAGATGAGCGTGGCACATCCATACATACATATATAAACATATATATATATATATATTGCCCCGCTACACGTATATAAAGGCAAAGCAGAGCGGGGGAACGGGCAAAAGAGCACCCGACGATAATGGCGAAGAAGGAAAATAGAAATAAATAACCACCTCGCTGCTTGTCACTGCAAGGAGGGAGATCGCCCCCTCCCCTTTTCACACACGCACGCACGCGTCAAAGCACGCTTGCTTCTCAGCATTTTCTTTGCAGTTGTCACGGCAAGTGCCGCTTGCACGAT